AAAAAAAATATTATAAACACGTATACTGTGCATCAGAAGCTGCATGATCAGTGGTCAGGTGCAAAACAGGTTGTGACATGTATGTATGTGCATGCCGAAAGACAAAACACTTCACTATGCAGTCTTTATTTTAAAAACACTACCTAAGTGAATCTGTATTTTCTATTAAAACAGATCAACTCAGTTTCACCATGAAATGTTATTTGTGTTAAGGAATTTTAGTAGCCCTTGCCCAGAGTTACCATTTTCCATACGGGTATCTATGGTGCAAAATGAGCTATTATTTAATCCTCCGCCATGTCATATGTACTAATCCTATGTCATATGCATATAATTTGCTTTAGAAGCAATTCACACCGAACACGTTTTTACTTTGAAAAAGAAATGGGGGAAACCGCAAAGTCTCGCCACATGTTTTATGTCCCGTCTAGCATGTGTTTATATTGTAAAATAACTGAAAAGTGGAATGGAAAAACGTGTTGTATGTGAGCAGCCGCTTAATCTCACTCTAAACAACAACAAACCCATGTGCCAACTGCAGTCACATCAGATCAGTGAGCACAATCAATCGTTTTCTTTACTAAGATGCCAAACACAAACCAATTTGGAGAGGAAATGGCCTTTTACTTTTGAAAACGCAAATTAACATCCGTCCCATTCTTACACCAGTCACCACTGACCACAATACAGGAACGCCTGATCACAAAGTCAACAATGAAAGGCATTGAGTGTGGAAATAATGGCACATCTGTGTGTCGGGCCGAGATGTGCCATCCAGCTGCTGGCAGGTAAACAGAGACGAGCCTGTCCCGCCGCAGCATGTGATGCCGGGAAACATATAAAAAGACCAGTCGGAAAATGTGTGATTCAATGCGCACACTACCATTTAGCACTTTGTTTCAATTTGTTCAGCATCCACCTCTTTCATCCGAGATGAGAACTGGTGTACCCATAATCCTCTTTGTTGCAGTGGCAGGTTTCCACAGTGGTAAGATTACAACACAACATCACACATTTGTAATGGCAGTTTTGAAACAAAAGTGTCTTATAATTTTTTTAATTAGAATAAAACTATATCATTATTTATTATATTTTTATTAATATTATAATATGATGTTTATATTATTAATATTGAATATATATATATATATATATATATATATATATACATACACATTTTTGTGTCTTGTTATTTTAAAATTAGAATAAAACTATATTATTATATTTTTATATGATGTTCATATTATTAATATAGTCTATCAAATGTAAAATAATCACACCCGGAACATGTTTTTGCAACTTTTAATTTAATTTATTTAAACGTACATTTTTTGTAAAAAAAAGTTACATTTTTTATTAAGTATTATGATTTATTCAAGTTTAATATCTCTTAGGCATTGCATATTTCCATTTGTTTTGTTTTGGAATGATCTGTGCTTAGTTAACGTTAATTTTTAATGAAGAAAAGTCCTTAATAACCATTTAATTCATCCTCGATGAGTTATACATGGCCATATAGCCAGAATTTTATGCATTATCTGCATGTGGAGTAATATGAAAACTGTGTATGACAGAAATTAAATTATACTTGTAAATTTTTGTGTTTGTAGTGATTTCATTTTCTCTGCTATGTGATGAAACGACTAAATTGTCAGAAGAGAGAGGTAACTCTATTTCCAGATTGTTTTGCTTTTTTTTTTTATTACAACCTAATATTACAGTCAAAGATTTAGGAAAAAAAGATCAATGCAAATCAAACATCCGTTCTCTGTTTTGTCTGACCTCAGCGTTTGAAGAGAACAACACAACACCACAAACAGGTGGGTCATTATTTCCCAGGCCAGCCTGGCTTGCTCTGCTTAACTTCTGCTCATGTTGGAGGTCATTGAAATGACTCACTGATAAGACTTATCTCATATCTCGTACACATTAACTAAATGCTCAGATTCTCATTTCATATCTGTTTCCTCAGATGAGTCGGAGTATGAGGCTGCTCATGTGAAAGGTAAATGTGGAGCAAATCAAATATGTGTTTCGGGCCATTTACTCACACTCAATAAATATGCTTTGACTCACTGACAGAATAAATATAAGGAACAACATATATGGGTGAGAAAAGTCGTGTTTTGTTATAATCTAAATCATCTGAACCCTAACAGATGGAGAGACAAAGGCAGTGACAGACACTACAGGTAAACGGAAGGACTTTTTTCAACACTTTATTTTCTGGAAAGATCCCTTTCAGTACAGAGATATTGATATTGCATTGCGTCATACAATAAATAAATGTAAAAATATAAGACAAATACATATGCAACAGATGGATGGATGGATAGATAGACAAATAACAAATTGCATTTGATCAACATAAACATTATATATTACAGAGGAGGAAAATGGTGAAGAATCAGAAGGTAAGAAATTTCTGGCTCTGTTTATCTCCCTTTTGTTGCTCATGGTCATTGTTAAAAATCATTGATTCATATTTGTGGTCATTAACTGATTTTTATAGAGAAAAAATTGCTTGAGAAGGAAGATAGTGATGGTAAGGTGACACATATTTTTTTACCAGTTATAAAATTAGATTAGATTAGATGGATTCAACTTTATTAAAGTACAAGAATAGAGCCGTTAGTTCGTTATTATTATTAATTTGTCTATTTATACTCTGTGGATAACCCTATAGATGGTGAGAGAGAGGCACTAGCAGACTCTACAGGTAAAGATTTTTTTCAGAAGTTTATTTTGTAGAAAGATATGCATTCTTTACAGAACATTATAAATAATGCATTGCAGCATACATTCATACAGCACTTTCCACAAATAGGGCCTGAAAAAAATCTTATTTTCTTTTGAAACAAATAATTAGCGAAACTGTTTATTGTCAAGCGTAAAGAGGTCAAACTAAGTATTTTATGAGCTGTTTTATTTTGTGTTGAAGTTATGCGATGTTTACAATGTTGTATACAAAATGTGGGACACACACACAAAAAATGAGTTATAAAATAATTTCCTTAAATTAATTCAATATATTATGTGGTGATACATTTAATGGGTTTAAAAACTAGCTAAATGTAATGCTAAGTTAATATAATAGTTTCTTCTATAGTTAAATAACAGTTCTTATGATTTTTAAGATGTACTGGACACCAACGTGTATTGTAATTGCAGAAAGAGTCATTTCTCTGTTCAAAGGTTTTCACGTTTTAATTTTAAAAGTCTTTTAAACGTTCAAAATCTGGAAGTTAGCAAGTTACGCAAACTCTTACGCAATGTTTGTTTTGACGTAGGAGCGAACACCGGAAGTGACGCGCCCATAGGAAGGTCAAGCTCGGTGGAGGTCCATTCATCACCACACGAGGGCGACAGTGCGTCACTCACTACATTACATTATTTGTATTCATAATTAAAGAAAACAGTTAGTAGTCTAAGACGTGTCCATTTTATTCATGTATGTGGTATTTCTCTGTAATTGAATGGATGACTTTTTGACTCTTGACCACTTGTTTCTAGGCCTTATCTATTGTGTTTTGTTCTTTTCTAGAACACAGTGAGCAGGTTGAAGAGAATGTGAAAAGTTCTGGTGAGTTGTTAGTAAATGAAATCAAGAGTATGTGTTGAAGACTGAATCCTACAAAATGACATATATATATATATATATATATACAAATAATATTAGTATAATATATAATTAATATTTACATTATTTTGAATTTATATCAATGTGACCTTTCTTTCTTTCTAGAAGAATCCAGTGAAGAATACGGTGCATATTACGATTCTTAGACTGTGTGGAATGCATCTAACATCTTTAAACCTAAATGCCTTGTTTTATAAATCATATTGCAAAATTTCTAACCAACTGTCTGTAGCACCTGGCCAAAAAACATGCGTTGTGACCTTTCACACAATTTGCGATCGCTGCTTCTTTTTTTTTTTCTTTCCAAATAAAGACTGTAAACACTGGCGGGTGTCCAGCATTCATATAAGTGCTAGGCTGCAGGTGGGTGTAATAACAGATGATTACATGGCTTCTTAGAGGCAGCAGTGTGAGTAGCAGATGTAGGTAGTGTTAGAACATATCTAGGACGGTTATCCAGGCCAGCGGCGTCTACAGTCCTTGGGTGCTTATTTGAGCTTTATTTATATCATCTGCATTGTCCCAGCTTATTTTTGGACCAAAGATGCATCATTGCCCGTCCCCAAATCCCACAACCTGATGAGGACGAGCTGTTTTACTGCATATAGAGCAGCAAGCATTTATTGCGGTTTTACTGTATATAGAAAAAGACTCCTAAACTCTCAAGAAATACTTTGCAATTGTGGAGGGAAATGTTGATAGTTCTTTGCTAAATGCATGTTTCGCATTTAGTCCATGTTGTAATGCATCGTTTTAATGGTCAAAATTTAAATCTATAGTGTTTTGTCTGTTAAGGATTAGGGAACTACACACACACACACATAAATATACATTAAATATCGATATTATACTCTAAGTCTAAATATTTTTAGGAGAAAAAATGCACAGAGGAATCATTCACTGCAAGAATTTTGATTTAACAATAGTATACTAAATTTATGCACACTACCAGTCAAATGTTTTTGGACAGTAAGGTTTTTAATGTTTTTTAAAGCAGCAAATCAGAATATAAGAATGATTTCTGAAGGATCATGGGACACTGAAGACTGGAGTAATAATGCTAAAAAAAATCCGCTTTGAAATCACAGGAATAAATCAGTTATTTTAAATAGTAAAAATATTTCACAATATTACTGCGTTTGCTGTATTTTGGATAAAATAAATGCAGGCTTGGTGAGCAGATAAGAATTCTTTAAAAAACATTAAAAATCTTACGGTTCAAAAACTTTTGACATAGTATATTATATATATATATATAATAAAAAGTAGAATTATATTATTATAAATATATAATTTCTTAAGTAATACATGACACAAAAAATATGATTCCTTCTTTTGAAATTAAAAAGGCAAAGTCAGGTGATACTGGAAAAGACATTTATTCTTTTATCCCCAAAGCCCAGTGGACAACAAAACCCTCCCCCTTTTTCTCTTTGGTTTAAAAAAAAAAAAAAAACGAGAGAGAGAACATCCTTAAGGCAACTACAGCAAATGAGTTAAGTTCATAACCAAATAACCACTCACAAATAATGGCTTCACAGCAGTGCAGATGGAGCTACAGCTACCTTCAGTCCAAACCATCATTTAACACCACTGTCCCACACCTAATAAATAGGGTAAGTCATTTGTGTTGCTGTAGGGGTTACAATAACAACCCACTGTAAAATATATACATATATTGTGTTTGTATTGGTATACATTCCTCAGAAGTACTACAGAACCGCCGGGTCTATGAGAAGGCTGGAGCAGATGAGTTACACCATTCGTCAAGTTTTACAGGAATGCCAATGGTCTCAAAACCAGCATAAGGAAACTTCACTCCCTTTATCAAGTTTAATTCACCATTTCTGATGTCAAGCGCCACAGCAAAGCATTACTGTAATACTCTAAAAGGGAAGAGGCTCATCGGTTGTTTTTAAACATATCAGAAAAAGGGGTTATATTTCTTGACTAAAAACAAATGATTGTCGAATTCATTTTGGCAGGGGACATTTTTAATAATTAACTTAAGATCTTTCAGCCCCTGGAGTAACCCTGGCCAGCATTACACTGGTGAAACAAGAGTTTGGGTATCCTAGTAACACTTCATCCATATGCAACAACAACGACCCTTGGTGACAGCACAATGGGCCATAACACACCGTATGGAGTTCAAATTGTCTACAGCAAACATTTGGGGAAAGTGCTGCATTTAAGGGAGTCGCCAAGAGCATGCTAACTACAGCAGAGCGGTTCTGTTCTTTAAGGAGCATGAATCTTTGCGGTTGCTGCCGAGATGTTTAACTGCATCTCCAAGCACAGGTTGGTCCGTTATAGTTGTTATTAGACGCTGGGCAAAGCAGAGCACATATTAACAGCTCAGTTACAGTGGTATAAAACACCAAAAGAAGAATTTGATATTCTGTAAACCATTGAAGAAAAGAGGACTAAAAGTTTTAGTTTACCTAGAGGCCCGTTTTGTAGTATAACCTACAAAAGAACTAAGAATAAAACAAGACATCTGGAAAAGGACACTGAAATTGTATTAAGGAACATGATGTGAGCAACCAATTTACTTCGCTAATCAACCCTCACAAAACTTTCCTAAAAATTTGGTTGTCATAAGGCTCTATTTGTGGCCAGCTTTGAGTTAGTCAGTCCTGCTTGAGAAAAGGGGAAAATTAACGCAACATACCAAATGCATAAGGAAAATTCCTCTTCCCCAAATTCTTCGCACCAAAACACAGCTTCTCTAAGGAACTCAAATTATGAAAGTAATGAAAAATGCATGTAAAATGAAGGCTAATACTGCACTGTAATTGATCATTTACCTTAAAAAAAACATTTAGTTCTGTACATAATTACATAATAATAAAAAAATTATAATAATTTGACGTCTATGTACAAGAGGGAATTTAAATGGCAACCATTCTAGTTTTGAAGACATCTTCTTCTCTGGCCTATGGTATGTGACCTGGTGCAATGCACACAAGTCATCAATACAGGCTAAAAATGATGCAGCCAATGACGGAGGGGGGAAAGTAGAGAGAGACAGAGAAGGTTGAGATATACTCTCCACCTCTCTCTGGGGATCCTGGTTGCAGGTGGGGGCTCCTGGTAAGCAGAGAGGGAGGCAGAGCAGACTTTCAAGGCCTCACAGAATGACATAGGTGAACAGGGCCATGATGGCCGCGCTGATAAGGCCAGAAATGGGCACAGTGACAAACCAGGCCATGAAGATGTTTCTGAACAGTCGCCAGTCCACTGCATTCTTGGAGCGCAGCCAACCGACAGCCACCACTGACCCGACCTGAAAGCAAGCAAAAAAAACGATACACACTCAACAACAAGTTGTAGTTAGCGATCTCATTCAAATAGCCTCTGTCTAGGACTTGATTTGCATTGGTTTGTTTTGCATACAGGCCCATCTTACCTTGCAGTGAGTGGTGGAAATTGGAAGACCAATGTTGGAAGCAACCACAACAGTGACAGCTGAGGCGAGCTCAATGCTGAAACCACTGAAATTAAACAAAGCATTGTTTAGGGAAGTCTGCCAGTTGGGAGGTTGTGCTCCGTACAGCAGGTGCTGTCTGATGTGACAACATGGCTGTGTGTTTATACCTAGAGGGGGTGATGGGGGTCAGGTCCTTGCCCATGGTTTGGATAACTCTACGGCCCCAGACCCACAAACCGACACAGATGCCCACTCCTCCATACAGCAGCAACCAGATTGGAGTTGGTGCACTAGATATAACTGACCCACTGTCATAGACCAGCCACAGGGCAACCAGGGGACCAATTGCGTTACTGAAAACAAAAGATAACAAGTTAAATTGCTTGAAGTGCTTAAGATTATAAAGCATTCTTACATTTTTTTGAGCACTGTGCAGTACAATGCTGCATTACCTGACATCATTTCCTCCGTGAGCAAAGGAGCCAAAGCAGGCAGTGAGAATTTGAAGGAACTGGAAGAGCATCGACACTTCAGGTCTGTCAGCATCAGCTCTATCCTCCTCCAAAGAACTATGGCTGCTCCCAGCATCATCGTCGGCAATCTCCAAAGCAACCTCACCATCACCGAGACCTTCAGGTGCACCATTCTCCGCCACTGCGTTGCAGTAACTCGTGTAGCTGTCCATGCGGATGCGCTTTCTCTCCTGGGTGCTGGCTTTTTCCTTGTCGGCATCTTCGGAAGCACGAAAGTCAGCTTCTTTGGGCTTGAAGTCTCCATGCATGCCGATGATGGCCATGGTGTAGGAGGTGTAGCTGTTGTTGCGGCGGATGGGCCGGTCGCCACCCTCCCCCATGCAGTCTCCCACTTTTGCCAGATGGAGTTTGTGCAGCAGGTCCTTGTAGAGGCCAGAGTCCTTGTGAACTGTGTGGTACTGAGAGTAACCATTGCTAGGAACGGTGGGGCCAGTGGTTAAATGAACATGGGCCATCTTCGGAGCTGCTGAAAACAGAATCAAGTTACATGATCAAACTTCGACAAAAACAGTAAACGTATGTCATGATTGGCATGGCATGCGAGGCCCTACAGACTTACCACTGTCCGTATCTGACTCTTTGCAGTCCTTCTGATCTGCGTCATCTGAATCTCCAATGTCAAAGGTGACCCTGCGCTCCTCAGAAAGAGGTGGGGCCGAGGGGATGTTAGAGGACAGGGCACTGGACTCCTCAGGGACAGGTTTCAGGATGGGACTGTGAGCTTCATGCAGCTCCCTCTTCTCCATCAGAGGACTCTCAGAGGGACTGGAAGACTTTACTTCACCTGTGTATCAAATGAGTTGGTCAGCTCCAAGCTTGCTAGCAAATTAAAAAAGGCAACAGACAAGTACATTAAATACACACAGATTAGGCAGAAAAATCATCCATTTCATTACTTTATATTAAAATACAGGTGCTTTCAAACTTTTAGTTGCCACAGATCCCCCAAATATGATCATCCTCTCATACTGAATTAACATTACAATATTACACATATAAAATATTAATAATTAATAAATGTTTATATCATTAAAGTTGTACATATCAATATGTAAAAAATATGAAATTTGCTAAAAACAGCCAAAAATGAAGTTTTAGAAGTTTAGAAATTAAGATCATTTCCACATCATTTAATTTAACCTGAGTCAAGGGTTTAATTGAATGCATAATTTTTTTTTTTTTTTAAATACATTGTATTAACATTAAACTGAGAACCCTAATTAGTTGAGTAAAGGTGAATATGATCAATCATTTGTGATAAGTACAAAGGCTGGTAAGCACTTTACTCACTGGCAGTTCACATGGCCATCACATGAGCGCTCAATTCTATAAACTTTCACAGGCAAACTCTGTTTGCTTAAATTGTCACTATAACCCTACATTTCAAGGACAGCCTGACATAACTCAGGGTCCATCGTCCACGGATCTGCTCATAGGTGTCAAAGCACACGCATTCTATTTTTCTACGAGCCTGCGCTACTTCCATGTCAACACCTCAGCTGGACCACGGCTATGCCAGTTAACTAGCCAAAAACCAATTAGTGGATCACTATGACCCAATTAGGCTGTCAATGCACAGCCAAACTATACAGCTTTAGATAAAAAAAAAATAAAAAAAAAGACTAGATGACTAACAGACTGTTGTAATCTAAAGCTGGTATTTCTTGAAAGTGCCGTTTGTGTTAGAAGAATATTTTGTGTTTTTGTCTGTTATGTGATTTGAGGATTATAAAACATATGCTTGCCATTAAACTTCTGTTACCGTGAACTGTAACTGAGATCACAGTTGTTAAGATACTTTTTACTACATTTCACAACTTTAAACGAATAAACCCTGTACTTTTGCATGGCATGAACAAGGATACAGGAAAAGGATAATTTAAACAAAGAAAACCTCACAGAGTTGACAGAGCTTAATTTGTACTGAATCCAGAACATTCCTTTAAAGAGTATATTGTCTTTCTAAGTGACTGATTAAAACTGCTGTCCAATGCCAGCATCTTTAATCTGCAGGGTATTATCCCCAATGAACACCTGGTGCTTGGCCTAAGGCTAATAAACTTTGCATGTCCACAGATTGCTGTCCATACTTTTATAGGGCCTGAAAAAAAAACTTCAAAGGTTGATGTATTGTTATATCTTCAAGTACAATGCAAAAAACATCTGTAATGGGCCTAACACAAACCCTTGAAGCACCCCACCCATTCATCTTTCTTTCAGTAATCTATTTGGCAACGGTTATGCTACACAATTGTGCTCTGGAAATGACAATGTGCAACTGGATATGACTCAGTACTACTGCTAAGGATTACATTGATTTTATGGTTTACATGGTTAGAATTAAAACAAAGACAAAAGACAGATACTTACATTCGATCTTCTTCTTGAGCCGAGGGCAGACAGCAAACCAAATGATGATAGCAGTGACCACGGCCAAGCCGATGGAAATGAGCAGCACTCCCCACCAGGGCAGCTTATCAAAGCCCAGCACTGCAGTCCCATCGTTCACAGGGGGAAAGGGACCAAGAGGGGTGTCGAGGGAAAGGAGAAGAAAGGAAAGGTGCTTTTGAGACAACAGGCAGCATGTGCTACCATCGACACAAACAGCATAAGGGAATGGACAGGGACATTGTGGATTTCTGGTTGTTAGTAATGGTGTTGAAGTTGAACATTAATAAGACATAAGAAGTGGATTTACTGCATCCAAAAGTTGCTTACACACCCTTTCTGAGGAAAAGAATATTCAGAGAAAAATACTTAGGCCACAGGCTCTCATTTATCATTTTCTGTTAGAGGACTATTGTGAGGAGCATTCTAAAAAGAAAAAGAAAAAAAAAAGTACTTGCTCCACATGTTTAGAAGTCCATAGAAACACGAGCCAAAACTACCACTGCAACCAAGTGTCAAATATCTTGGTCACATTCAGAATGAAAGCACAAGGCCTGTCCTCTTACATAACACTTCAGGTGAGATGTGAGTGTGAACAGCAGCAGCAAAACTTTGCAGTGACAAGACAGTGCACAAGTCCGCTGTACCATATGGTCAGCAAGTGCAAGTACCTTAAAAGGCTATTGCGACAAGAGCAAGGCACCGAACCCCCAACTGCTCCCCGGGCGCCGCAGCAAAAAAATGTCTGCCCACTGCTCCGGGTGTGTGTGTGTTCACTTTGGATTCAAGGTGTGCCTCCAAGCTTTCTTACTCGTTTTGCTAATAAACGTAATAAACATAAAATGTATTGGAGTAGGTCAGAAAGACAGGTTGAGAGATAAGAGGACAGGGAGCAATGGGGCATAAACTCCTGTGCCGTGCCACACGCACATATTACTACAGGACGCTGCAGGGCATGCCGTGCCGCTGCATGCTTTGGTTATGCAACTTTAGTTCTCGGGAGACAAGACACCAGGAATGCCTCACTCTTTGAATAGAGCTCTGAGGTACATGAAGGAGGAACAGCTGAACTTTCCAAATCCCAAATGAATTAACAGCATCTAAAGGGACAGAACAGGTGTGGCCAGAGGAGGTGAGGGGGTGAATGACTGAAATAAGAGAAAGGCCAACGAATGGGGCCCAGTTATCAAGTATGGCAGTCTGGCACAGTTCCTGCTCAGTGTGTGAGAAAAGCAGCCCTGTGCATGTGAGTTACGCAGGGAATGCATTTATGCTCACATCAACATAGTTTGACAAACACTCTGCCACCAAAGGGGAGCAGCCATACCACAAACATGCAGTGGGATGAATGAATGGAAGTGGATTCATTTCCTGCTTCACCTCACAATAAAATCTGCTATCCCATGGCTACACAATAACACAAGTTTTTCCAGACACGTTCAGCACAATACCTCAACCCGGTTGACGGGATGACGATGGTTTATGAGTCATTGTGGGCTGGGCACTGGTGTTTATGCAAATTATGCCATTTGTGGTCTTTGACTGCCACGCATTGTAGGGGTGGGAATCTTTAGACACTTCACGATCCGATCCGATTCCGGGAGTCACGATCTGATTCCATCTACATTTTTTTCCTAATTAATTCTTCTACTGTGCAAATACATCTTTACAACTTTACATTTTAACCAAAATGGCAGTTTCTATGCTTTTAGTTTATAGTTGGAATCTCTGTAAGTCAGTACTTAAAATCCATCTTAAACTTAAAATTCACCACAGTACTTAAAAGCCATCTTAAAAATAGAGGTGTGAATCTTCACTGGTTTCACGATTCAATTCAATTACGATTATCATGTCTACGATTCGATTCAACTCAATATCACGATGAATCACATTCTCAATTTTCAATATTACTGCACATGGCTACATTTTCATATACATTTTATATCAAATTTATTTTGTGCAAATTTTCCTTAATTTTTTTTTATTATATAAGCAGGCTACTTTTTAAAATAATTACCTATTTTAAAAATAAGTGTTCTTTAAGTAGGCTATCCGAAAGTTCACAATCATAGTTATGGGTTTTTCTTTTTTCCTCAGCATTATTGCTTTTTTGATTATTACTGATGAGATCAGACAGTGGCAGCTTTAACAGGCTGCATTCACACCGATTCACACTAATGCACATTTCTATTTCGATATATCAGATGTTTTGTCCTGTTCTGAAAACATAACTGAATGTTTACATCAATTTTGTATAAAAGTATTTGGAGATGCAAGTGCATTTAACCGCAGCCGCGATCGATCTTCAGGACATCAAACACAAAGCACAGGTGAAAGTCTGTCAGTACATGCGTTTCGTGCATCTTATACGTACTGCATTCCAAACAGCATAAATGAAAGCATATCTAAAGTAAAATACTGAAATAACGGCGGGTGGAAGCACACACTGTCAAGCAATGCGCACATGTCTCACAGCACATATTCTGTGCAATGAAGCCTGCCGCGATTGTCTCTAGCGCACACACACGTTACTGTATGCGGCGAAAAACCATGCTCAGAATCGATTCTGAAATGTTCCGAATAGATTCAGAACCATTGAAGAAAGAATCGCGATGCATCAGAGAATCAATTTTTTCTCCCACCCCTAGCACATTGTGAAAGTTTCAAGCATTTTTTGATAATTAACTGAGATCATGAAATAAACTTTTATGGTGTCCTAACATTCTACCTTTGTAGCACTACCAGGATGTTGTTTGGTGTCTGTTGAGAGACACCCAGTTTTTTTACCCCTGCCACTAGTCACACTGAAATGAAATTATTAAACTAGTATATTAATACTCAATCAGCATGCTTAAACACACACACACACACATACATACATACATGACACAAGTCTTCTATTTTTAAAAGTTAATGTCATTTTCAGGTTTCACTGTAATCATAATCCGGCATAATTGTAAAAACTGATATGTCTGTATAAACAAAATGGTAAACTTTGACTCAATGTGATTTTAAATGTTATAACAGTGATTTTATGATGTCTTAGCATGAATCCATAGGCAAACCGATGAACAGTACTGTTTTAGGGCATTTAATGAGCCCATTAG